CAAAGTTCTGCGCGCTAAGAACACAACAATAACACAAACCCATAAACTTTGTACACGTTTGAACACGTGCTATTTGGCCCTTTTTTTCCTAGTGACGAAATACTTGAGGGATATCTCAGTTTGAGATTCCCAAACGATCTGATATGATCTTTTGCCCCTTTTCGAGGCGTTGGATTGGGCATAGTGAAGTTGCCTTGCCTTTCAAGAGAAGCGGATCGCTGAGTTGTCAGCAGGACAAAAATATTATTTGGTGCTTTGGTATGCACCGAAGATGCGGCTTGTCTCCAAAGACAATATGTAAGGTAAAGAATCATATTTGGCGGCGAGATTTTGAGGTATCAACTCGTGGAGATTGTGACCGAAAGCCAAGAGACACCTCGATCAGTGTACAATCACTTACCTGCCAGATGCGCCAAGTTTTGGAAGGTCGCGCATACTGAATCCAACCAAAAAATGAAAAATGTAGCCAATGGTTGAGAGGGAGAATTTCGAAAGCATGACTCATAGCAATGGAAGAGATGATCCACACTGAGTTCAACGATATGATGCTGAATTTTTGGAAATGTTTACTCCTTTATTTTTGATCTACAACAATGTTGTCCATGAGTTTTAGCAGAATGGGTTGGTACATGCCAGAGTAAAGCTAGCGCAATAACACAGGAAACAATGCAGCGGAAACTCGGAAATTTTACTATCCAGAATTAATAGATGGCGCTAACATAGGCAAATATCATGTTTTGGGTGATTTTTCTGGTCACAAAACTGGAGCACAGAGATCTTATCACGTGCTTAAAATAAATGCCAAAGATTTCTCTTGTCAGAGCTCATCGGACCCTGTTTTTGACAGTGTAATTTCTGTCACAAAGAATGAAAACGTATTCAGTTGTTTGTAGCAGGTCAGAAAGGATGTTGTGTTCACATTATGCATGGTATACATTTCACGAATCGATGCTAGCACTCTGCATTGCAGTAACCTCTGCAACACTGCAGGGTGCAATTTGCAGCAGATGGTCCTCCACTCTGCTGGCCATGCTGCTTGCTCAACCAATAGTCTCAAGACCTGTAACCTGTGACATGAGGGCACCCTCAATGATATCAATGCACCATTAACCTTGGGCGAAATGCAGCAGGAAGACATACAAAAAAAGGGTTAGCCAACATGTGTACAGTTGCACAAGAAGCAAGGTGGTTTACAAAAGTTGAAAATTATCAAGTGTTTGTTCAACGTACACATGCAATGGAAATTGTGTATCAGCTCTACGTTCGAAGTGCAAATTCTTAAAGCCTTTCAGGCTGCACATCCCATGCCGCATCCCTTGATTCACCTTCAGTAAGGGGGGAAATTGAATCAAACGTCATTATTTGCATGATATCATCGATCACCAAGCTCCCCCATCGGGGTAATTCCATTCCTAGTCTTGGTACAACTAGATAAACCAATCCCCAAATGCGTGTCTCATTCGAGGATCAGCAATCAGATCAGTCATTTCTCCTACCATGAAAAGCCACATTTGTCCGGCAGTAAAATCTTCGTCCCCAACCTTGGCGAGCAGGGTCAGTCGAGATTCCGAATACTATTGGCAATTGCCCCAGCCAGGTCTCCGCTGCCAATGACTCATCCGGTTCAGATCCTCATTCTTGACAACTCACCCGCATCTAATCCCCATTTTAAAATTCATTGATGTTTCAGGGACCTCATGCATGTGGGTGCAAGGCGAGGGCTGCTCTCGAAGGTGGACACGAGGGCAGTCATTGAGAAATTCAAGGGTCAATAGTTCATATCCGAGGTAGCGACAGACCCTGGTTAGTAAACTAACTAGCTTGCATCCGGCTAATTGAAACTGGCGCCCAGGAACCAACACCCTTCAGTAAGCATACTCACATTCAAAAATAAAGGAGGGGTGCCTGAGCGTTTGCTCCGCTTTCAAGCGAGTTTGTCCTGACGAGGAGCGGCATATGAAACATTAATATTTAAATAGATAATGTTTTGTTAAAATAGTTTGGAAAAGAATCATTGAACATAGCTTGCTTTGAAGCGATTAGGGTGTATATGTCGCACCTTCTTCGAAGCACTCAGATTTTTGAAAATCTTGTTTTCGATCCGATTTCCACTCTGACACAATACCTCGAACGTCAACTGGTTAGTGCGTTTTGCTGCCACGGTCAGGCACGAGGTGGAAGCAAGGCTAATGGCACCCATGAGGCATGGGTGACAGCGCATGATCCCACGGAAGAAACCCTGCACCGATTGCCACTGTCAGATTGAAAAGTACGAGCGACCAACTCTGAAATAATGATGAAGCCACACCATGTATGTAGCAGTCAGCGCTAGGGTGGAATTCAGAAGCACCATTTGTCATTCCTGTACTTATGAGCTCTGTTTTAGCTCCACGTTTCTCCGGAGAAGCGTCAGTCTTCCATTCTTAACAAAGGGTGCAACATAGTTCAACCATCTTTGCATGCATCGACGACATATTGGTGTCCGTTCGCCTCACCAGCCCTGTGCCCATTCACGCTGGTGTCCTCGATATCGCCTCTGCGGATATGCCATCGATGGCATGACCCGGATACATGTACTCCTGCACAGGCTTGCTATTTACGCGACGTCAGGTACTGTGTGCGCATGACTGCCACACCCGATTTATGTTCAGCCCGTTCGCCGTGCAGATTGCAGATGCAAAAGCCTGCAGGCCGCCTGCTCATATGCGGCATAGTCATGCACGGTAGCGAGGAGCGCTGGCATAGGCGTACATCGATGTTGCCATATCTCTGGCATCAGCGGCTGTGGGGCAACAATATGCATTGACAAAGTATCCCCGTTTCACAAGCAAATATGCTCCAAAGTACACGGTTCCAAACGGTGCAAAAGCGCGTAAAACCGTGTGAAGACTTGCAAAAGTCACACTCGCGCAATCGATACTACACGATTTGGTCCCAATTCTGTACGACAAATACATTTTTACCAAAAGTTTCAAGATCTTCAACCGTGTTACATGGTACACGATTTTCAAAACCGTGTATTTTTCAGCCAATTTTTTTACTCGTGTTTGTCAGGCAGGAGTTCGCGTGCCTTCAAGGAGCACATGAGCAGAATCGTGAAAGGCAGACTGATCATTTGTCTGCTGCTTCATCATGTAACATGGTTGTGTCAGCGTGACGTAAAAGTGCTCAAAACATGGGCTTCAAAAGTACATTTCTGCATCTAAGAGCGTGAACCCAATGGTGCCATAAACGTAAATAGCAAAACTGCTCCTATACACCGGCAGAAAACGGCATGTTTGCGATGACAACTGTGAGGCCATTTCGACACGAAGTGATGCCGTCACAGTGATTGCGATGGCATAAAATTGGCTGTGATGGCATCAATTTCTGTCAAATGGCGTCACAATTGGCATCGCAAACAGGCTGTTTCTATTAGTGATACATGAGAAAGGCGTCACTGCTCGGCGTCGCTGATTACTTCCCCATCCATGCACTCACTGTGGTCTGTTCCTGCACAAGCCATACCACCTCCAAGGACGTGTCAAGGGAACAAGAGCTTCTTTCGGTTGCATCGATTTCGATTTTTCTATGCTGCCTGTCCTTTCTTTTTTTCATCCTTTCCATACACTGCTATCAGAGAAACGTTGGGGATGTTTGAAATTATCAGCGCAGTCGGTTCTACAGAGCAGAAACTGCGGCCTTTTCAGGCTACCAAATGTCGAATTCTCTGAATGGTTGCACGAGTGATAATCCCAAGTCGATCGCCATGGATGGGCCATGTATCAGCATGGGTGAGCGTCAACAGGGCGATAGTGTTTGGCGCTCACACTTGAACACCAAATGTGTTGTATTACAAATATGTTCAACACTTCGGTCAACTTCTGACTTTGGCGTCTGCATGCTTTGGGCTCAGTGCCTGTCAGCTGTGCCAACATGCCATGCTAAAGTTGCTAACGAGGGTACGGGGCTGGCCATTGATGCCATCCCGACCGCGTCGGGCTCATCTCGACCATCAGACCGATGAATGAAGCCACCACTTTCGTCGAAGATTGGACCGTCTCAACCAATCGGCAATTCTCATGGTGGCGCATACTACGAGCCTCGTTTACAAGGATGGTCACGGCTTAAATTGTACAAACCGTGAATTTGACACCTTGACATCAAATGTAAAAAGGTAGAATAAATCTAAAATCTAAATTGTAAAATATGAATATTAAAAATGTAAAAAATGGTGTATTTTCGGATTTGAGAAGGTCGTGGGAAGGGTGCACAGCAGATGCAGCGCCACCAGCTCCAAAAACCTTCACACCCAACCGTTGGGGTGCATCCGGCGCACTTCTTGCTTGCACATTCTCTCGGGTTCAGCTGCAGCCGAACTGGACGCTCAAGGCCTCCATTCCGCCAACACCGCCCTTCCCCTTCCCCCAGCCTCGGGAACCCACCCCAAAGTTGCGCTGGAGCGCCGCCAGTCCACCCAGCCTCCGACGGGCTGGAAAGCGCCGGGCTGCCTGCCCGCCCTGTGCTCCTCCTGCAAGGCAAGCTAGACTGCGACTTGAAGATCCGCGCGCCACGCTAGAGGACGAACGGATCCAGTGTTGGAACGAAGCAACGAGAGCGCTCCGCGGATACATTGCGCCAGGTACGGTCTCCGCCCAAACCATCACCAGAAACCAAACACGCAGCCTGCCCTTGCACCAGCGACAACACCATGTGGTGAAGCCAACGGCGATGCTGTTTGATGCTAGTTGATGCCATCACAGTTGCTTTTTTGGCCATCGCGATGGCTTTGATGCCTCCGATAATTGTCAAAATGGCGTCGCAGTTGGCATCGCAAATGTATTGTGTTCCGCTGGTATTTCGTGTCGCTCCCCAGCGCCGGCTTGCGGCGGAACGATCGGCAAAACGCTCGCCCACCAAAAATGATTCCCCGGTCTTCCTGTGAGTAAATCGTCAATTCACCAGCCGACGACAAATTGGTCAAACGGTCAATCCAGGTGAAACCGGCTTTGGGGGCAAAGATGCCGGAAGGGAAGCCACCCAATCAGGGTGCCATCCACGCCGTAGCCACGCCCAAGGGCTCCGGCGATGGCATGCCGGTGGCCGCCATCGGCGGTCCCCAAATGGCCCAAGAAGGCAACTTTGGGGCCCAAGGAGTAGTGGGTGCACTGCCACAATCCTCGATGGCCTTGCCCCCCAGAACACCTGACCAGCCTCCTGGCCATCGTTGCGTGGGCCCACCCACATACACAGTGGCACCTGGGCACCAGATGGCATACTCGCCCTACCAGGAGATCGAGGAGCTGCGGAATAAGGTGAGAAAGGAGAAAGGAAAAAGGAGCTGAGACGGCCTGTGTGCAGTCCCATTTGTGGTGGACTGCGGAACATGCCCGGAGCGGGAAACTCGGAAAACTTTGGGACGTGAACTAACAATCTGGCACGACTTTTTGGGGTATGGAGTTGTGTGCTGTTCAACGCCTTGAATGTGCAAGGGCTGTTTTCCACATTTTAGGAGATGCAGTCAATACATCTTGGTAATAAGCCACCCAACTTCCAGGGATTGCAACCAGGCAGTGACTGATGTGAGAAATACAGCTTTGTTTTTGTTGACACGAGTCCTGAAACAGGTCTTGTACCCCTGTCCCAGATCCGATTGATGGACAAAGAGCAGTTTGAGAAGGAGTTGGAAGCGCGGAGGCAGGTGCGGGAACAGGTATACCAGGAAGGGATCAAGATCGCTGATGAGTACCAAGGTGAGATCAACCGGCTGAAGCAAGAACTGTGGCAAAAAGACATCAAAAGTGCCAAGGACACCAGTCAGCATAAGCGGGAACTCAGGGAGAGGGATGCCAAACTTGCCACCTACAAGAAAACCACTGAAGACTTGAAGAGGCAGGCGGTGGAGATGCAGGAAAATATTGCAGCTTTGAGACAGAGGCGGCAGAAGGAGAACGATGGTGTGTTGTGTGTGCATGCGTGCAATGTTCAGCCTGGTATTCAAAGTGCCTTTGTCATCAACTGCCAGCCTTTGGACCCCTTTGCCCCTAATTTGCTCAGGGTAACTCCATTTGCGAGCAGGTGCCTATTGCTCTTTAAGGCAGCTGTGAGCACCTTTGGACCAGCATCGAAAGTTTGAAGTTGTTATCCAGTAGCACCTGAACATGCAGGGTTAAGAAACCTTGACTTGCACCCTCACCAAACCTAGTGTCGTCGACACTGTGCGATGCCAGATCAGCCCAAGTCCCTTTACACATCCATGAGGTCTTTTCTTGTTTGTCTCTTGCCTGTAACGCCCCAGGTTGCTTGAGCTCACCAAGCACCATGGCAGCAGAGGAAGAAATCGAGCAGCTGCGAGAAAGGGTGAGAGAATGATGAATTATTGTGATGAGCTTGCCCCTTTGGCCTGTGCACCCGTGATTCAGTTCTGGCATGGCTTTGCTGCTCTGCTTTCCCCATTGTTGAAGTGCATCCTCTACCCATATCATCACATTGTTGCAGGAGCAATTCCATAGTAGCAAGAATTGGAGTGCCCACTCTGTGCCAGTCTGTATCCTGGAGGACAGACGTTCTGCTCAGACATGACAAAGGTGTGTTTGATTTTGAGAAGGATGTTGAAAAAACAAAAGGAACAAAAGGAACTTTCTATTCAAGTCGAAGCGATGTGCTGCCTGCAAATTGGACTACTGTAACAATTATGTAAGCCATTGAAGTTGATTTTTTATGCTCAAGGCTATGAACACTGCAGTGCTGCTGCTGCGGCAAACTTGACAGAAATGGTTGAGTATTGTTTTGCTGTCCGTGCGATGAAAGTACGTAGTAGGAGTCCCCCTGGATGAAGCTTTGTGACATAATTTTGCCGCGTTCTAGAAGAAACTGTAGAACTGTCCAACTGAAATTGAGGCCATAATCCATGCTCTGGCAGATACGTGATATGGACAAAGAACGATTTGACAAGGAGATGGAGGTGCAAAGGCAGATGCAAGAGGTGGTGCGCCAGGAGGGTGTGAAGATTGCCAAGCTTACCAGTGACCATGATGCCAACATGAAAAAGAAGGAGATGGAATACAGGGATGCTATCAGCCAACTCAAACATGCAAATGGCACCCTCCAACAGAAGGAGAAAGAGCTCAGCCGCACAGTCGACCAGCTGAATCAGAAGATCAAGGAGCAAGATGCGAAATTTGATGCCTACAAGAAGAGCATGGATGAGGTGAAAAGGCATGTGTTGGAAACCCAAGAGGAAACGAAGGAGCTGAGAGAGAGTATACATGACGAGACTGATGGCAGAGGTATGTGGATGGTGTGAGTGGTGCAAGCTGCCTGGCAGAACGCCCCAAGCATTATTCAGAAGCGGACTTTTGCAGATCAGCTTGTCACCACATGAGGGCTTAGTTGGGTGCCTCTGCACGTGTTCGATGGTGTTGCGCTAGTCAGTCTTTGTGCATTTGTTACCTGTGGCAGATTTGTAGCTGAGCACATTGTTTCAAGGATCAGTTACAGACTCCCTTGATGTTGTTTTTCAGCCTGCATTTTGTATATAACAACATCAAGTGCTTCACAGGCCAGGCAAAAGATTTGGAAATGCACAGTACTTATGAGCATGAGTTGATAATACTTAACTGAGCAGGGGTATCAGAACAGCGAGGGCGAAGCGCTTAAACACACTCCCACCTGTCCCAAGAATCGCCAAGTCGCTTCATGTTGTTGCAACGGATTGTGGAGGAGCTTCCTTTGCTCATATTTGTACTTACTTCAGTTCCATCATGCTGCTGTTAGGTGCACCTGCAGAAGAAGAATGTCTGGTCACAAATAAACCCTTTCCGCAGAGGTGTTGTAGCCAGTTTTGTCCCTTTGGTTGCTCAGACGGCAGTTCTGGCAGTCGTGCTTCCTCATCTCCCAAGGACAATGGTCCGGCCAAGTTGTCTCTCTTTGGTTCCTCATATGGCGGTTCTGGGAGTCGTGCTTCCTCAGCTCCCAAGGACGATGGTCCTGTCAAGTTGTCTCTCTTTGGTTCCTCGTATGGCGGTTCTGGGAGTCAGGCTTCCTCAGCTCCTAGGGATGGCGGTCCAGCCAAGTTGTCTCTGTTTGGTGGCTTGGACGGTGGTTCTGGCAGTCGTGCTTCCTCACCTCCCAAGGACAGTGGTCCTGTCAAGTTGTCTCTCTTTGGTTCCTCGTATGGCGGTTCTGGGAGTCAGGCTTCCTCAGCTCCTAGGGATGGCGGTCCAGCCAAGTTGTCTCTGTTTGGTGGCTTGGACGGTGGCTCTGGCAGTCGTGCTTCCTCAGCTCCCAAGGACAATGATCCTGTCAATTTGTCTCTCTTTGGTTCCTCATATTGGGGTTCTGGCAGTCGTGCTTCCTCAGCTCCTAGGGATGGCAGTCCGGCCAAGTTGTCTCTGTTTGGTGGCTTGGACGGTGGTTCTGGCAGTCGTGCTTCCTCAGCTCCCAAGGACAATGATCCTGTCAATTTGTCTCTCTTTGGTTCCTCATATTGGGGTTCTGGGAGTCAGGCTTCCTCAGCTCCTAGGGATGGCGGTCCGGCCAAGTTGTCTCTGTTTGGTGGCTTGGACGGTGGTTCTGGCAGTCGTGCTTCCTCAGCTCCCAAGGACAATGGTCCTGTCAATTTGTCTCTCTTTGGTTCCTCATATGGCAGTTCTGGGAGTCAGGCTTCCTCAGCTCCTAGGGATGGCGGTCCGGCCAAGTTGTCTCTGTTTGGTGGCTTGGACGGTGGTTCTGGCAGTCGTGCTTCCTCAGCTCCCAAGGACAATGATCCTGTCAATTTGTCTCTCTTTGGTTCCTCATATTGGGGTTCTGGGAGTCAGGCTTCCTCAGCTTCTAGGGATGGCGGTTCTGTCACATCTTCTCTCTTTAGTCGCTCGAACAATAATTCTTGAAAGTTTTCTTACTTTGCTCCCAGAGACAGCGATCCTGTCAGGTTTTTGTCCTCTTCCATTTAGGGCAGCAGTTTTGTTTGGCTTACTTCCTCAGTTCCCTTGGTCGATGGTTTTGCAGTTATTGTGCACCTCGTGGCGCACCCAGCAAGGGTGGCACGGCGGGGGCACGTCTGAGTCCCTCAAGGTGGGTAGTGAGGCACTAGGCATCAATTACAATAACAAACAGACAATACAATCGTTGTATCGATGCCAGGTCTTTTAATTGTCTGGTAAATTATCTGGTGGGCCCATACACTCTCCACAGAAAGCCATGAATGTTACCCAATAATCGCCGAGTAGACTGAGAATAGCATTTCAGGCAAAATACCTATAAGGGCGAAAACGGCGCATTGTGCTCAAGACCACGTTTTATTACAAATGTGCAAAAACAATTGTGCACGGAAAGGTTGTTCACGGGGCACAGAAATTGTGTTAACATGGCCATGTGCGCAAGAATGAATGCGCGCGTGGCATGCGCATTTACTCTTGCCCTCTGCTAGTGAAAACCATTGTCCATTGCCACTGTTCCGCCACGTTTCCACCAAAGAATACCCATGCGCTGTGGGAGATTTCGCACCAGCTCCTCGTCTTGTGAATGTGCGCCCCATGCACGTATTTGTTCTTGCCCTCTGCTAATGAACAAACCATTGCCCACTGCCACTGTTCCACCACGTTTGGACCAAAGAAAACCCACGTGCGTTGGGTGATTTCCCACCAGCTCCTCATCCAACGAATGTGCGTGCCACACACACTTCATTTTTTTGTGCGCAACAACTCGGTTGTGCAATTTCACCAGACTGCACGAAACAGCCCGTTTGTGCGCAAATGGCTCATAACCATTGAAATCGGGATTTTTTCTTGTGTGCAAAGTCAAAATTCTGTTGCTTTCCACGGCCACCTTATAGGCGTTTTGCTTGAAAGGGTGTTCAAGAGCATCCTTCGGGCACCCACATTGCCCAACGTTTCAAGGAATCTATGATGACTCAATGTCTCCAAGGATCAATACCCCCGCAACAGACACATTGTTGCCCATGGTTACCTCAGTTCAAGAAGTTAGAACAGCATCGTCGGTCCATCAACACTCATAGTAGACAACTTCAGCAATCTTGCTCCCACAACTTCCTCAATCAACAGCTTCAGCAATATTGCTCACCTAGCCCCTTCATTGTTGTTTTTCAACAGTGTTGCTTCTCAAGTTCCTTCCTAGAGGTTGGGCAGCCTTGCCTCCCCAACTCCCTCCAAAACGCTTTGGAGGCTGTGCAGGGCATCTACACAGAATAAGGATACAGTAGTGTGGAATATGCCCTCCAGAATTTAAGAGCAAATCAATGTGCATAATTGAAGGAATGAATGTACCTTCAAACTGAAGATACATTATTGATATTGAAGGCTTCAATGTCATGCCCCGTTCCCAACCCAATGCCTACAACGCCATGTCTTGCCCTCTTTCATATTATCCCATTTCTATGCACATCCAAATGAAATAGGGCAAGGTTGCAATGTTTTCTTGATAGACCAGTGGTGTTGGAAAACTTGAGCTGTTTTGGAAAGAACGAATTTACACGTCAGAGCATCTTTCTAGAGGGCTTACACAGGGCATGCACAAAATAAAAAGGACTTTACAAAATTGGGGGAATAACAGATGCTTGTATGGGAGTGTATGGAAGCTCTAGAGCTCTAGATCTAGAGCACAAGACGTTTTGAATGATGTCCAAAAGGCTCAATGGAACCGAAAGAGATGAGGGGAAGTGATGTCAAGAGGTGTTGACCACGATAGCGTGCATCAAGCAATTTCTTGACCCAGACTATAACTGCCAGAAACTCTCACCTCAGAATTGTGGAGGGCTGCAAACAAGTTAGCGCCTGTGAACGATGGTGCGCAACGGTGGTGAACGTCGAGGGATCTGACATTTTGCAAGGCAGTATGGTGAGCAGGGAGTGCACAGTGCACAGTGCATTGTGCTCGGTGCATAATGCCAAGGACAATTTGAAATAACCTTTGTCGTTCCATTTTCGAGCGGAACTGGGAACCATGGGTGCGGAGGGCACTGAAGCAATTTGGCGCGTCTGCGCTCACTGACGTTGCTGCGAAGTCTTCGGGGAGAGATCGAAGAAGGCAATGGAATCTGGGTCATGTTGGATGGAATCTGTGCCGCATCGCTGCACATGAGCTTCAAAAGGCCGGCGTCAACAGCACACAACACAAACACGGCAACCGATGCCACTTTCAGGAAGGTGCTGCAAGCTGTAGGTGGGCAAGTCGAAAGCTTCCACTACAATATCAGTCACGTGTGTCGCAATTGAAGGATTTCATTGAGAGCACCGATGAAACGGCTCAGTTGTAATATGTTCGACCAAAACTGCTGCTGGTTGTAAACAAGCGGCATATTGACCTGTAGTACTTGGTTGACATATAGTACTTGGTTCCAGTCTGATATTCAGCCCGAAAAAATGCCTGGAATGTGGAATGTCAAAGGGCAGAATGGAAACAAAATAAATGGCAACCCAGGGAAAAGTGTGACAGCGTCTGGGCTTAGAAAAGACCCACCCTGATTGAAATTTTCAGATTGACAATGTAGAAATGTCCAACTATCAGATACATGAGGAGCCAATATCATGTCCTGAGCGGCCAGCCATGGGTACTGGCCGGTGCTATAGAATGATGCCGTAGGGCATTCCCTTGCTTAAACCCACTTTTTTGGCTCCATATTTTTCCAGAGGAACGTCCTTTCCTATTTCCGTTGCTCTGCAAAACGGAATGCAACGTAGCACAACAATGTGGAGGGGTCAATGAGGATTGGTGGCCTTTTTAGTAAGTTGGGATTGGGGTTGAGACTGCAACAGCTGTTGAAAACACTACGATCCCAGAGAAGACAGTACATCGCTATTTTGGTGCCTCTGGTAGCTGTGATTAGTGCCATGTGAAGAGGTGGTTGCCAAAAGCACAGGGCAGCATGCATGTGAAATTCGAGGTGTAGAGTACTTTAGACAACGTAGCACAGCCGAAGGAATGATGGAGACACAAAGATGGAGTCACACTGGCTTGTTGTTTACGGTGCAAACACAGATTGCATTGCGCTTTTAAGCGCAAAAACAGTATTTACGCTTTTGCACGTAAACATGCGCAAAATACGTAAATACAGCCCCGTGTACATGAAAACAGTACATGCAAACTCAGGGAGTCCGGGGAGCAGCAGCCAGGCGCGCTGCATTGGGTAGAAAACGAAGTTCTTTTCGACGACTTCGTTGTCCTTGCCGAGGGCCAGGTGGAAGCTGTGTTGCTTATGCTTGTCTGCGCAGAGGATTGATCATTGTAAGCAACTTCATCATGTAACCTGATCGTGCCAACGCGCCGTGAAAATTCCCAAATATATCCGTAAAGATAGCCTCTTCTGTGTGTCTACGTTTTGCGCAAAAATCATTAAAGTAAAACGTAAACGCAAAACAACTAGCCTGGCCTTCATGTATACACAGCTGATTTCCAGGCAATTATGTGAAAATACACGTGAAAACGCAAAAACTGTTTTACGTGTAAACACAAGTAGACACGTGAATATTAGGGCCGCAAACATCATGCCCGAGTCCAAGCAGATTTTGATGGATGAGCCATGTATCAGCAATGGGTGACTGTGTACAGGGCTATGGCCAACATGGTGCTGGGTGCTTACACGGGAGCATCAAACGTGTAATATTTACAATGTGTTCAGTACTTCGGCCCACTCCTGTCTTTGGCGCCTGCATACTTTGGGCTCACTGCCAGTTTGCTGAGTCTACATGCCGCGCTACTTTAGCATTGCTAAACTTGCCATTGAGGGTGCACGGCTGCCCGTTGCTGGCAACCCGACTGCGTCGCGCTATTGTTGATGATCACAGATTTCACTGCTGAATTATGATGACATCAGATGGATGAATGCAGTCCTCACTTTTTGTGGAAGATTAGACCGCCTCAGCCAGTTATAGGAAATTCCCGTGGTAGTACGTACTACGATCCTTGTACGTGGGGCTTGGCGCCACATGAGCGACGGCTAACAATGCAAACTGATATTTCTTTTATGTATTTCTACATGATCAACATATAAATAACATAAATGCAGGACTACGGCTGGCGCTGGACAGCGGCCGAAAATTCACTCGTTTCACTTAGAAAAGCTTTTTAAATTTAAAATTTTAGCCGCTGTCCTGGGAGAAGGGGTCGTGGGAAGGTCCCCGCAGCACCACCTCGAGGTGGAGCTCCACCACCACCCTTCGCAAAACACTGCGATCAACATTCACACCATTTTGTTCTGCCAGCTTTGCCGGACATTGCCCGAATTGAGGTTGCTTCGCAAGCTTCTGCCTGACATTTTGTCCGAATTCAAGTGCCCTGGGCCAAAATTTGCTGCACACGGCCGCCATGGTGGGCAGTAATGGCCTTCTCGCTGAGAGGCCCATGGCCGTATCAGTGACGACTGCGTGTTCGGTGGCCTGGACAAGGTGAAGGGGGATGATCGTCAGTGAAGATTCTTCACCACTTTGGAGCGGTAGCATCAGCGTGGGCGGCACTACATGAGCGGTGCCCAAAGGAACGTGCACCGAAACTGCCAAAATTGCCGATCGCATGGAATATAATAGTATACTTCCTCCGTCCCATATTAATTGTCGTCTATTTGAGGGAGAAATATCGTTATGAAAACTGTATCCAAATTGCAAATGAAAGCCAGAATCGGAAAGATTGGCTCTCAAAACCCTTAAGTTCGAATTTTCAAGAAAAAATATTTAGTTGTCAGCCCTATGAGCTGGCCCCCAAAATTGCCTTGACACGGTCCAAAAATTGCGCGTTCAATTTCCGCGGTCTTGCAGGCCCCCCTGGTTTGGGGGCGATCCCGTGCCTAGGGGCTGCAACGACAATGGTTGCCACCGTTGTGGCAAAGGATGGGGTCCGGCAGGTGGCATAGCACTTGCCAAACTCAATCAAACATGCATTTATCCTTGTCTCAGGCAGCCATTGTCACAGTGTTGACGATGCCAGAAATCACCGGTTTTCTCGATCTCTGATGGGCGGACCTCCAACGAGCGGAAAGGCTAACGTAAACAACCTTAAAGCCTAGGCTCAGTGTGTTCTGTCGCTCCGATGCTGTTTGGTAGCCTTGCTCGGACATTTCGCCTTAGTTGCTGCTTGAGTCGGGACTTGCGTGGGCCCCTGAGCTGGAAGCCCCAAAATTTCCATTGTTTGTAGATACAGTGCCAGATGTTTGTGCACGGGACACAATCCATTGGAACCTAGAAAGACTCCATCGCTTCAGAAGACCCGAATTCACTTTGCGGCCATCTCCCTTGCACCCAATCCTCTAAAGTTCAGAAACAAGGATAAGTCGCCATTCCCATGGCAATTGCCAATTCACTAATTGTTCATGCCATATTGAGGTGATAGCCATCACCATCTCCGGCTCCTTATTTAAAGGATTGGAAGACCTCCCTCCGTTGCTTTGACGGTGGCAAAGGGGCTCGAAAAGCCTTGACCAAAAAAATTTGCGTCCGAAACGTCACTCCAATCCCCCAGATCAAGCCTAAATTGATGGTGCGAGCCACGGCGAGTTCGACGATCAATGCATTCGAAACGCGTTTTTTTATCACCGTACCTCTTTGCAAGCACCCTAATAACCTCCACTCTGAACGGCATGAGTAGTTTTGCAAGGACGAGTTTGTTTTGCTGCCGCGAAGGAGTGCTCCTCAAAACAGCCAAAAACAGCTGTTTTCGGCGCAACGTCCAGAAACGACCCTTTTCTGGCCAGAGGACCCTTGCTACAAAGTACTATCAAATCCTCAAAACTTAATGGATCGACTTGAAATTTTGATGGTACACTCCAACCTCCCAAATACAACTTTAGGGAAAATTTTATTACAAATTAATATAAGCACGATGGAGAAATAACGTCTCAAAGTCACAGACGACAACTAATATGGGACGGAGGAAGTGATTGCCGGACACAAATCAATTGCAGTTCTCAACTTCCACTAACCTCATGGAAAACAACAAAACACGCAGAGCTCAGCGATTTGCCTGAAGAGGAGATTGCTGCAAGCGAGCGGTGCAGCAAAGTGGCAATGTGGGAAGTTGCCAATCGTAGCAATAACGATTACGTAATTACGTAATGCAACGAACTGGCGGACGGCCATCATCAAGACGGTGACTTACCTTTGCATAATGGTGGCGATTGGCACCTGTTGAAGTGTAGCATAATGAATCGCGGTCGATTTCATCTATGCTCTGTTCGTACTTCATTTCTGCTGCGTTCGCTTCGTCCAAGAGTTGATTCGATGGTTGAAAGATTGTCGGGTCCGCCGGTTGTCATTGGCAACGGCGTTGGATGATCTGGCGGAAGAACAGCTGTGGGTTGAATCAAGAGTAGTGAGAGTTGTGCTGCTTGAAAGGCACATTGGATTATGTGATGGAAGTGCGGCTGTCGGGTTGAATCATGAGTGCACTGACAGCTGGAATGTGTGAAACGATTGATGGGAATGTACGATGTGTGGTTTGGCGTACAAAAGTTGGACATGGCGACGTTGTAACAGATCCTTGTCGGTGCTGGGTTCCGTGCTTCGAGTGCCACAAGGCCGCGTTCCGAACCGCCTGGCAAATCGCAGGCCCCCGACGCCGAAGGCGTGGCTTCCGTGAGGCTGCGCGGCAGGGGATAGCTACTAGCTAGCGTGCGGACGCGGGCCCCGAACGTGGGGCATCTCCACAGGCCGGCGCCTTACTAAGGCGCGCGGTGAAGGTTCGACACGCCCCGAGAGGGCTGTGCGATCGCGGGGGGAGGACCCCGTGCGCCGGCGAGGGCGTTGGCGCGACGAGGGTTGACGGGGAGCGACGGGAGGCGAAAGGGAGGGCGCATTACGTGGTGCGTCGAAGGAATCGCGAACCGTGGACGGGACTGCTGCGAGGCGGATGTACTGCGGGTTCCGGCAGCGAGTGCGGGCTGCGAACGAAGGGCGAAAGGGGGCGATGTGCGGTCGCCGCTTCTCTGGCTGACTCCGGAGGGGAATCGCCCGTCGTTCTGCGCGCGATGGGGCGTTCCTTTCAACACACCCACAACGCACTTGTACCGCTTACAACTTGTGTGGAAGTCGAGCCCCAAGGTGAAGTCTTCTTTTTTTGCATGTCCAAATTGGGGCAAGGTTGCGGTTTTCTTGACGGACATTGTCTGTATTAGGGCGCATTGCGACGTCTTCTGCCGGATAATTTGTCCCAATAGGATCCCCTTTGACGTTTTTGAGCCAGTCATGCGAAATCCAATCCGGAGAAAAAGTGTCAATTCGGACAAAACTTCCAGCGTGCAGCTCTTTCTTGCGGCGCTCTACAGGCGAACTGAACGCTCAAACCCTCCATCCCACCAACACCGCCCACCCCCCTTCCCCCCTTCCCAGCCTCGGCAACCTACCCCAAAGTTGTGCTCGAGCGTCCACCCGTCCATCCAGGCTCTGAACGGCTGCAACGGTCGGAAGGCAGCCCTGTACCCCTGTCGGAAGGCAAGTCAGACCGCGACTCGAAGATCCACGCGCCTGTTCGAGGACGCGTTGCGATCGTCCTTCCTACTGTTGGCGAAGAACGAACAAGAGTGAGAGCGTCCCACGGAACCCATGGGCTAGGCACGGCCGCCCCCCTGCCCTATCCCAAGCACGCAGCCTGCCACCAGCGGCAAACACCATTTTTGCGACGCAAGCTACGAGGCCGTTTGCTTCCAATTGATGCCCGTCGCAATTACTCTTGGGGCCATCACAATCACTGTGATCCCTCCAATCAGTGTCAAATGGCATAGCAGCTGGGATCAAAAATATGATGTTTTCTGCCGGTGTTGCGTGTCGCTCCCCAGCGCCAGCTTGCGACGGAACGGTCGGCAAAACCGCCTTTCTACCAAAACTACATTCCCGTCTTCTGTGAGTCAATAGTCAATTCACCAGCCGACGATCAATCGGTCAAACGGTCAATCCAGGTGAATCCAGCCTCGTGGGGAAAGATGTCGGAGGGTGCGCTACCTAATCAGGGCTCCACCCACGCCCTGACCGCGCCCCAAGGTCCCAGCGATGGCATGCCGGCGCCCCACGGCGCCGGCCTCTACGCCATGGGCGGTCCCCACGTGGCCCGAGAACGCAGCTCTCCACCCCGCCAGTCCTCGATGGCCTCGCCCCCCGGCACACCTGACCAGTCTGCTGGCCATCGTTGTGCGGACTCCCCCGCGTACACAGTGGCACCTGGGCACCAGGGCACCTTGGCATACTCGCCTTACCAGGAGATCGAGGAGCTGCGAAATAAGGTGGGAAAGAATGTGTGGTCATGTTTGTGGTGGACTGCGGAACATGCCCTGGGCGGGAACCTCTGAAATTCTGGGAAGTAAACGAACAATTTGGAGGGAATTTTCAGTGTGGGGTTGTGCAGTTCAACACCTTGAATGTGCAAGGGTAGTTGTTCACATTTGATGACATGCAGTCAAGGCATTACGTTTTGAAGACATGCAGATTCGAGAGACTGCAACCAGGCAGTGATGTATAAGAGCAATATATCTGTGTTTATGCTGGCACAAGTCCTCTGAAGCTGGCATTTGCAGCTCTGTTGCTTAGATCCGATTGATGGACAAAGAGCACTTTGAGAAGGAGCTGGAGGCGCGGAGGCAGGTGCGGGAACAGGTACACCAGGAAGGGATCAAGATCGCCGAGGAATACCAAGGCGAGATCAACCGGCTGAAGCAAGAGCTGCAGCAGAAAGATGTGAATGGTGCCAAGGTCGCCAGTCAACACAAGCAGGAACTCAGGGAGAGGGATGCCAAAATTGCCACCTACAAGAAAACCATTGAAGACTTGAAGAAGCAAGCAGCAGAAATGCAGGAGCACATTGCAGCTCTGAGGGAGAGGCAGCGGAAGGGGAATGACGGTGAATGAGTGAACATCCTAACAGGCGACGTGAAGGAAAATGACAGTTTCTTGTGGGCATAATGGTCGCCCTCGCTGACCACTACTCAGTGGGCCTTTGTCATCTATTGCTGGCCTTTAAGCCCTCTTGACCTCATCTGGATCATGACAACCTCTTGTGTTAAGTTGCCAGCATCTTGAAAACGAAGACTGGTGCATGCGAGCCAGCATGTGCAGGTGCTTGTTCGTAGTTTCCATGCTTTTCCTTCTAACAGCACCTGCACATGCAGGCCCCCTGCATCCGTGGTTGATACCCAAGCCACACCCACACTCATTCGCACAATGCAATGCCAGATCAGCCCAAACTGCTTTGCATGCTGATGAGATAGTTTCTTTGCATTGTTCTTTGATGGCCATTGTCTGTGCCGGCCTAGGTCAGCTGAGGTCACAAAGCACAATGGCAGCAGAGGAAGAGATCGAACAGCTGCGCAAAAGGGTGAGATGAAGATGGAGAGATCGTTGAGTATTGTGATGACCTGGCCCATTCCACAAAATGGCAAGGAACCCTTGGAAAATGCCAGTGTTAATGTGCAACATCTGGTGAGTGCTGGCACACGTGGTCCAGTGCAGGGGTTGCCAGGTTGCTGTGGTGCTGGGTTGCTTACATGCTTGTTAATGAGTCATCTGTCCACCATTAACATAAAACAGATGCTTGCTTACAGGAACCATTCTGCCATCATTCGAATAACCAACCCACTCTCCTGTGTGTGGCCAGTCAGTGGATCCTCATGCACACAATCTGGCACAAAGTGTGAATTGATTTTGAGAAGAGTACAATATGAAGGGAGTTATTTTCCCAGACGGTTGGGATCAGCTCCACTAATGCTGGGAAGCATCGATGTATTGTTATGACAAAAATGGCCAGGGCTGATTCAGGGTATGGAGGCTGTATCGATATTACTGGAAGCCAACTGATGTTGTCCAGAATCCTTCTTTCTTATTTGAAGGGGCAGTGCACAGTGGACACTCTCTCAAACAACTGTTGTTGGGCTTATTCCATAGTGCAGCAAATCACACACAAGTCTTCAGGTGTTATGGCTTGAATGTGTGATGGCATTTGTAAAAACCATGGCAAGACACTGCCATTTCACCTGAAGGATGAGTTAGACCCTGATTCCACATATAGTTATTCATTCTTGACATATTATTTGACCTTTTGACATTGCTGAGGTGGCCGACTGCCCCGCTGTGGCAGATACGTGAATGGGACAGAGAACGATTCGACAAGGAGATGGAGGCACAGAGGCAAATGCAAGAAGCACTGCGCCACAAAGGGGTCACGATAGCAGAGCTTACCAGTGATCATGATGCGAAGCTGAGAAAAGTGGGGGAGGAATTCAGGGATGAGATGAGCCAACTCAGACATGCCACTGATGGCCTCCAACAGAATGAGATAGAAATCAGAAACGTTGTCAAACAGCTGCAGCAGGATGTCAGGGAGCAGGATGCCAAATTTGCAGCTCATAAGAACAGCATGGATGAGATGAAATTGCAGGTGGCGGGTACCCTAGTGGAAATGAAGGAGATGAGAGAGAAGCTGCAGAAGGCGAGCGATGACAAAGGTAAATGAAGAGTGCCAATGATGACTTGTGTGAAGAAATACTGCACGCGTTCTTTTGGGGCAGAGTTTGGCAGGTTGATACCCTGTAGCCATATGGAGCTGGGTACACGTGTCATCTCTGAATGGTGTGTCTAGGGGAGTTCCCTCGTTTTCACACATATGCAATACATTTGGAATTCAAAAAAAAATGAATGGTGTGTCTGCGTGTACCGATCTGTATATGCACCATGCATCGTCACTAGTGGACAGTGTGAGTCCGAGGGCCCGCAAGTTGACCCATCTGAAGTTGTCTTTCATCGTGCGCAGGCTTCACAATCGCTATATATGGTGCACATGCGCTTTACAGCGAAGGTGCACGCAATTGCGTTATGGATTAGAATGAGTTTTTTGGCACTGTGGAACTTGAATGAGAAGAGAAACATGACAACAAAGCTCCCAGTGTGTTTCCAGGCACGTAGAAGCAAAATAATTGGTTCTCATGCCGTTGTAACTACGTACAGATGTGTTTCCGTTTCTCTTGCATCTTAACCTCATCTGCTATGTTGTTTTCTCAGGCACACATGGCGCAAATTTTCCGTGGGATCCCAATATGTGGGCAGCCAATTTCATTCCTCCACCATATGTGCCTTCAGCGTCTGCTTCAAATGGTCAAGGGTGGGCAGGTGCATCGGACAGTAGACCTGGGGCATCTGCCTCACATGGTCGTAAGCGGGACGAATGCAAACAACAGTAGAGTTCAGCGGTCGTGAGCAGGACGAATGCAAACAACGGTCGAGGCTGGCGATCAGCATTCCGTGCTGTCCAACATCGTCAACATTGGTTTATAAACTTTCCTTGTCTCTTTTTCTCTTGTTAGCCCAGGTTCAGCTGCGTTGTTGGTCCGCTGCTCCTCATATTGCGCTGTTGTGTGCCGCCAAGCCCGATTTTCTGCCTTTACTCTCGTTTGCCTTGGGCCGTTGCTGCTGTATGCCCCTTATTATGGCTGGGTGGCATTGTCTGATGTAAGGCCTGGCGCTGTGCCTTACAGCGCCGGGAAATCGATTTGTCCCCACTGTTTCGCTATGTTTTTTTTTTTTTGGAAAGCAGTAGATGCAGGTCCTGGTGGGTTGCTCAACGTGACCTTTGTTTCCTTTCTTTTTTCCCGACGGTAATGGATGTATCCATTACAGTGTATCACTGCATACAGCTTGGGGTGTTCCCGTTGTCCTGTGTGCTCAGGCTTAGCATCCATTGTCTTATCACCGTCATTTCATTCAACGCCGGTTGCAAAGCAATTCATGGAATGGAGTTGGATCCGAAAGGAGCACTTCAGGGCGTCGCCTAAAAGCTGGGCGTGGCAACGCATCTGGTGGCACAACGCACAAAGCACGATGGCACAAACAGCCGTGTAAATAACAAAGCGGCACACCCATAGAATACTACAAGGGAATTCAGAGAATGAGCAGAGCTGACTTGGACGCCTAAGGCGGGTAGCATGCGTGAAAGTGAGGCTACGAAGATTCCAAGTGGAATTCGAATATGCTCGAGCACCATGCTGTATCGGTGCTGGTGACGAGCATAGTCCAATGCAACCGATCGCCAGCATCGACAGCACATGTAGAAAGGAGCGCAGGCGCAGTACATTCAGAGGAAGTGGTTTATGCTGTTGCGCCTCAAAGCCGGCCAAGTGGTCCTCCTGTAGGGGACAAACATATGCGACCAGCGGTCTTCATAGACCCACCGTACAAGATTTGCAGCAACACAACGCAGCTAGCGGCGCCGTGAGGGCCCAGCAGACACGCGGAGGAATGAAGCAGCACGGTGCACAGCACAGGACAGCACAGCATTAACAAACCGCGGCAAAATCGAAATGGCGTCTGCGTATGTTCCGCCGCCAGCAATGCCATACAGAAAACCACTGCAAGGCAGACCAGTTTTTGCCATTCTAATGCCACGGAAATTCGCACCATGAAACTGTGGCACTGTCTTAGCTGTACTGAAACGATGGGCGGTTTTCGAACAAGGGAGTCTGATGCTCAGTGCCGCACAGCCAACAGCCTGCGGATGGGCTCACGTGTTAAGGATCGCGGCTGGAGCCCAAAAGGGCTACAAAATATCATTAGAAGTAATTCGCCAAAAAAATGTGTGCTAAGTTTTATGAGTGCTTTTGAGTCTCTGAAATCGGATTTTTGTGCACAAAAATCGTCCATGCATGCATACCAGCATATACGGCAGCCTCATACGTCGACGTTTGATGTGCAATATTGCAGGAGGTCAATTGCTCGTGGACGCAGCCCGTTGACTGTTGGCTCATCAGCAGGGCGTTTATAACAAGCTGGGCATGTCAGGACGTATGTACTACCAGGCCTGTTATTTGCGTTTATGGCACCATTTCAACTTTTAGATTTGTAGACGTAAAAATGCGTAAATAGAGACATGGCCATATATATGCATGTGTGAATATGCATGTTTATGGCTCGCAGATACGCCCATACTATTTACGTTTTCACAAGTAATTTTTACGTTTTAGGCGTAAAAACGCGTAAAATTAGCTGAACACAACGTAAATACAGCCCTGTGTACATAAGGACGGTACATACAGCCTTCGAGACTCCGGGCAATGGCATCCAGATGCACTGGAATGGGCAGAAAACGAATTTCGTTCCACACCATAGTGGCCCTTGCCGAGTGGGAAGTGGACGCTGCGTTGCGGGTGCTCATGGGTGCGAAGTACTGATCGCTCTACGCAATTTCATCGTGCAGCCTGGGTGTCGCCACGAGCCGTGAAAACGTAAAAATAGCCGTGAAAATAGCTTCTTTTGCAAATTTACGTTTTTGCGCGTAAAAACAAAAACGTAAGAACGTAAACGTAAACGTAAATAACAAGCCTGCCCACGTCTAAACTTAGGAAGATCAGTTCAGTTGATCCAAAAATTGGCGAGGTTTTGCAAGCGAAATTTTAGGTCCATGTCTCCAATTTGAAAACCCAGAGACGTCACTTGATCAAACAGAATGCTACTGACCAGTAGCCAATGGCTACTAGCCATGTCTGATGTTCCCAAGCATTGAAATTACAGACTCAAACATAGCTGATAATTTCTTTCCTGCCAAGTAGAATCGAATGAGGTGGTGATGCCCTTCCCGTATGTAGTATAAAACAAAGCAGACAATAGTTGCTGATGAACAAGTTGATCATACTTTCATACCCAGCAACATCATTCTTAAGATCAGGTAGCGTAATTTGCCTTAGTGAATTGATATCCACCGGACGTCGTTGATATTCCATGAGGAGTGGGGATGTACACACACAAGTATGTTACTATACACTGCAAATAAAAGAGCCACCATATTGTCTGTCAATTTTGCGTTAGAGGGGCTGAGATCCCCGGTCTTGCCTCAATTGAAATGGCGGATTTGCGGAGTATGCTTCCGGCCATGTATTGACATTGTTGTCTCGTTTATCACATCATGCTCCCCCCCCACACACCCACACCCACACCCACACCCACACCCACACCCACACCCACACCCACACCCACACCCACACCCACACCCACACCCACACCCACACCCACACCCCACATACACACACGTGAGGTCCTTAAGGGTGATTTGTCCCTTTTATCTCTTCTCTTGACACCACCGCACGATATCATCTGTGTGTACAAGGACCCCAAATCGGTGTCCGTCCGCTCAGCCACTCATCCGCGCCAGCGGCCTTGCTGTCGCTTCAGCGGATCACATGCCCGAGCTCTGGAGGAGGGTTTGCAGCTCGTCGCAACTCACTGCCGCCCGATCAACGCACGCACTATGTACTACTTCTTCGGAGAAGGCACCACCTTCGCAGACGTGTTCAAGGCTATAGGGCTTCTTCAATCACGTTCGTTTGTTTTGACACAATATATTCTCTCACTTAATTTGATCCTCTCAATTCCTTGAGCAAATGTGAGAGATATTCCGAATGCAGCGGTACAGTCGCGGCGCTCTTATAGGGTGATTACGTCCCATGTGGCAGCCTTTGCAGGCTATCCGACGCTAAATTTCCCAACGGGTTTGCACGCGTAACGTACCCATGTCGCTGGCCATGTATCGGCATTGGTTAGCAGTGAACAAGGCCGAGGCGAATTTGGCGCTGGCGGCACAAGTGTGCTGTACACTTCTCCTGCAACACCTCGGTAAATTTCATGCCTTTCTGTCATCACATTTGGGTTTCGCTGCCACTCTGCTGCGCTTATATGCAGCGCTGAACTGGGCGATTTAGAATGACGAGGGCGACGCGCCACCGTGTGCTTCCAGACATGCAGAATCTGGTGAATAGTTTTCCACGCCATTGTCAACGAATGTTGATGTGCTTTTTTTCTTTGTTTTTAGTCTCCTTTTGGAGATTATGTTTTCTCATGCGCTCGCGCGACAGGATCGATTCCAGATCGAGTGATCCTCCGCTTCGGTCGTCCGCATCCATCTGGTGGACACTCAGCATCTGCTCTGAATGATGAGAATTTTTGGCCTGCCTGGGATAGTGCACACCCGGGAAATTCTGTGACTGTTGGCGATTTTTTAATGGATTTCATGTCTTCTGCGGATCCAAGCCCACTGTCAGATCATCAATGCCACACGCTTAGGACGTGCCCAGCTGCGTTGAGCTCTGTCGTGCTGCCCATCAAGAGACACCACCTTTTGTCGACTTGGCTGCGATTGGCATAAAGTTGAAGGACCCCTGCGCTCCCCGCCCTGTTGCCATTCGTGCTTGTTCTGAGAGCTTTCTTTCCAGCTCAATGCCAGCTATACGTCGAGTGTTCAATGTAGTTGTACGACAGTTCAGGGCTGTTCTGGCCCATTCTTGTCTGCATCGATGTCGGGAGCAATCTTCTTCGTGCCGGTCTGGACCCCCCCGTCGATGTCGACGCCACTCTGACCAAAGCATCGCCACGCTGTCAACCAAAACATCAACCGAACCATTCATTCAGGGCTCAGCTCAACTTGCTAATGAGCCTCCATTCAATGACGGGCTTCACTGGATTCCATGCCGATGACTGCCTCATTATGACTTGCTCCAGGTCTTGTAAACCTTGCAACAGTCGGAGGCACGAGCTCGACTGTTGGCCCCAAGCCCAGCGCTCAAACACACACGATCTAACAAAACCACAGTAGAAAAAACAGCGGCCAAACACGGTGGCGTCACGCATAGTAGTCGAGGAAAGCCAGATCCAATCGCGGGCTGCCCCAGCTTCATTTTTGAGCGCTGGTGTTCGCCCAGCGTTTGAATGAATGCCTTTCATTCGAAGAAATGATACAACCCGGTAACGCGCCTTGGGTCATTTGTTTGCAATGTTTATTTTGACGTGTGTTCCAACAGCCACCACAGCACTCAGCGCAGGCATCCAAATGCAATATTCTCAAAACTTGTAAGTAAGGCCAGCGCCTTTCTGCACGTACTATGCATCCCACTTCTGCCTTTCCTCAAAACATGTTTTCCCCAACCCCATTACGCATCACAGTCAACGACACTACCAGGTTGCGCACATTAGTGAAGTCCCTTGCCTTCCGCCTGCACCAGTACATCGCATTGCATCTCTACCTGTCTTAAGTCCACACAATTTGGACTCAATGATATCTGCAAATGACAATGCCAACGAACTGATTTCCAACAGCCAAACAAACGTCCCGCACAGGTCACACACGACCCAAACTGTCCACAAATCGCGGCTGTGTCAGGTGACTGCGGCCAAAGCAAGGCACAACAACCTGCGCAGAGCGTGATCATGTCATATGGCAAATCCCCAGAACACCTTAGTCCCAGATCGCAACAGCCTCAAGCCTGAAATGCTCGCAACCTCGGGCCACATTCTGGCTAAGGCTTGCAACACATATAGAATTGCAACATTCTTGCCAGGGAGCACCCATTAAATGGTATGATCTCCAAATTGCTGCAAAGATGGTCCCAACACCCAATATTCAGCCTGCTTGCATAGATTGTATAGATCAGCTCTATTTCCTCTTCGGGATGCAGATTATGGACACCACATCCTCCTTCTTCAGTGCCTCTGACAGGGCATTCACCCAAGGGTCCATGTCAGGGATTTCACTTAATGGCCGCCCACCGGCAAGCATCATGGTGTTGGCCTGGGGCCGTCCGGTCACTTCCGACACCACCCGTTTCAGTTCTGACATCGGGGCATTGCGGGCCAGCTGCGATTGATGCCTGGTGTTGTTGGGGAGGACAAATGTGACTTGAAGTTGGGGGCCAGAACTTGAGGCTTGGGGTGGCTGGGAAGGGGTGGCAGCAGCAGGTGTGCCATGATTGGGAGTGGGGCCAGCGTTTGCCCACCGGCCGTTGGTTGCTGGGCCGTTGTCGAAACCGTCAACACCCATGACTTCAGGATGACGCTCGATCATGTGTACCTAACAAAGCAACAGTCATTAAGCCAGCAAATAGAGATGGGAGGTGTATGGATGTGCACTTGACAAAGTGGGGGGCACGCCAGCCACATTTGGAGCACATCCTGTCATCAGTGAGCACTTTACAGCATGATCAAGCTCACGATGCTGAGCAAATGCAGCCTGTGCATTGGTGCACATTACAGTGTGCAGATGGCTGTGTCGAATGTCTGCCTGTGCTTGGGGAAACAGCTGGCCAGTCAGTTCACATCACTATGAGTTGAAGCTGGCGTCAAAAGCAGAGTCTCCACAAGTCCAGCATTCCAGTAACACAAATAAGAGCATAACCATGATGCTCCCCCACTCCAACTCCTGACCTTGTCGACTTGCTGCATCGACAGCAACAAGAAACTTCCCTGTGCAGAAGCCCTTGTTGCAACAGAAATGACAAACAAAACAAGTGCTCACCTGAACATCATCAGGGGTCCCTGCAAAACCACACGCCATCGGGCAAGCTATTGCACCGGCAGCTGCGGGGGGCTGCAGGTCATTGTAGCTGCCCTGCGGCGCTCCATACCCAGCAGGGTGACCCCCGTATCCGCCTTGAGGAGCATAGGGCTGGGGATAGCCGGCTCGGGGTGGGGGCACAGGGGCTGGCACTGGGGCAGGGTTGGGCGGAGGGTAATTCTGATAAGGGGCAGGAGCTGGCAGGCTCGATGGTCCTGAAAAAAAATGCAAGGAGCAATTGACTGACTGACTTCGCAAGCTCACCAACGACCAGTCGCTTCCAGCAGCACATTTTGTGACATAATGATCAGCAAAAGTGGGTAGGAGAAACAAGCAACAGTCTGGTGATGGCAGCACTGGTGGCAAGCTGGAAGAAAGAAGAGTAGCAGCAAAAGGCTGTCAACCTAGTGGACGACCCTGTGGAGGATGTCATTGCATCACATCGTGCATGCCTTCCTGAGGGCACAATGCACATTGTTGAACATTGCAGATTCTGCCAATGACAATGACAGCAATGGCATCATGTTCTAGTCAACAACACAAATACAAGCATAAAGCCAATACCCACTTAAAAGTAGTGATAAGATACGATGACAGAAATGGCACCCTGTTCTAGCATAAAGCCAATACCCACTTAGAAGTAGTGATAAGATTTCGAGTTGATGACAGTGCCTGGTAGACGCTGCAGGCAAATGTGCCCACACATTCTTGGTTCTGCTGGGCGCTGCCCATCCAGAGGTCCGGACAGGCAAAAGCAGTTCCAACAAATGACAGCAATGATGAACAGCAAAAGGGAACAAGCACCCCAAAGTGCACAAGGAGGCGATGTTCTGTGCATCCACCGTCAGGGGTCTGTTTGCTCACCTGCACCATTGTTACCCTTCCGCTGTCTCTCCTTAAGACCCTCCAGCTGTTCCTGTGTCTCCAGCACTTGCTTCTTCAGGTCCTCAACTGTCTTTTTGTAGACAACGAGCTTGGCATCCTTGGCTTTCATTTCCTGCCTGAGGTGGTTGAGGTCGTTGCTGAGCTCTGAGTCTTTTGCCCGAAGTTCCTGCTTCAGGCGGCTGACTTCGTCTTTCAGTTCCTCCTCTCTTTGGTTGAATTCGTCCACCTTCCTTTTCAGCTTGGCTTCATGATCGCTTGTGAGCTCAGCGATTTTAGCACACTCCTGACGCATCACGTCCCTCAACTTCTTCTGGGCTTCCATCTCCTTTTCAAATTGCTCAGTGTCGAGATCGCGGAGCTGAGTCAGACAGGCACATCGTCAGCTTGCCTGACACCAGCAGACCTAAAGCACTTGGCATGCACACATGTACCAGGGTGTGTGGTGCTGTCCAGAGCAGTGTATACTGTTGACCTAAGTGACGAGGAATCAACGAGAAGCACAACAATATACAGTGGAAAGCCCATGTGATGTGTGCACTTGTAGCAGTCATCTTGCAGAGGTGACCCACTGCAGCCCCACCAACAGAAAGTGAATTGGGCTAAAGCAGAGATTTAGCACAGCGGTATAACCATGCAGCTCCAGACACCAGCAGTGGTGGCAAGATGGTCAACACTTAGCTTGGGACCAACTCGGTCATGGATGGATGCCACTGATGAACATGAAGAAAATGCCGATAGTGGTCGCAAGCGATACTGTGTGCTGAAGAGAAGGCAACCGTCATGCACAATGGGCATCTCCTTCCATGCAAGATTGCGTGTGGAACTCTTTCACATTCACACTGCAAACACATGCAGCTATTCTGATTGAAGCACACAGCCATGGGTGGATGCCATTCATGCTGTCTCACCCTTTTCCGCAGCGCCTCAATCTCCCCCTCTAAAGCTGCTGTACTCGCAGAACTTGGGCGACCTGGACCAGTGCAGAACAAAATTCAAGATTTGGTGGAGGCAAACCAACATCGGGGCCATGGCACCAAACTCGAGCACAAAGCCATGCAGACTCTGAAGGCAGCACAAAGCTGAAGCAACAGGAATAGACAGGTTGTGACACTACATCAAAGACACAGACATTGACCTCCACCACCATGAAAGGTCACAAGTAACCTCCATTGACAAGCAGCTCAAACAAAAGTGCGCCTCAAAACCGTTCACCACAGGGAGTTCATCACCAGAGCGTTCCCCACCTTGCCAGGCGAAGCTTGGCGTCCGGCCGTACTGCGGCGTGGGCGGGACCGGCCCCTCCTGCCACCATGTCCTCCCCTGAGGCTGCAGGTACCCGGGAGGCGCTTGCGCCGCCCCGCCAGCCCCCCCAGCCTGCCCATGCGGCCCATGTGGCTGCTGCTCCTGCCCTCCTGCATACCCCACATAGCCGCCCTGGTAGTCGGTGTACGTGGGAGCAAGTCGCTGTTGAGATGGCCTCTCAGGCGTCGGCGGCTGAACAGGCACTGGAGGCGGCACAGCAGACTGTTGCGGGCTGGCCCAGGGCACAAAACCCTCCTGAGGTTGGCCGGTTGGCTTCATGCCGTCTGGGGCACCGTAGGAGGCGTAGGGTGTCTGGGGCACTGTAGAAGGCGTGGGGGGAGCGTCCCCTGCGGGGGGAGTGCCGTAGGGCACATATTGCTCGGCGTCGACGGGGTCGCCAGGATGCCTGTGGGCCGGATGGCTTGGGATGGGGTTGCCATGTTGGGAGGTAGGGGTGTAGTCCGTGGGTCCGCAGTAGCCGGGAGTGGGGTAGTGTGGCTGATCGGCGTTTGGCCCCGGCGTGGCGGGCGGAAGCGGTTCCTGGCGGGGGTGGGGCGCGCCTTGGTCGTTGGGCAGCAGCGCCCCTGTTTGGGATGGTGGCCGTTCTTCCGACATGGGGTTGGAGGCGGAGGCCGGAGGCGGGGCGACCTGGAGGCAGGGAAATTTAGAGTCGACTCGTGAGCGACAGGCGGGCAGATTTGCAAACAGGAAAAGAGAACGGGGGTGGGTGGGCGTGCGGGGTGAGATTTGCTGCAAAGAGAGAAAGAAACATGTCGTGCAAAGGGCGCACCACCCTAAGCAAGTGCACGCAAGACTTCTTTCCATGCTGCGAAAGATGATACAGAGCCGCAGGCGGTAGAGGTCGAGTGGGGCGGAGGAGAAGCGGCGTGGATGGATTGGTGGGGAAACGGGGGGTTCGAGTGGTGATCGTTGACTCAGGCGAGAACCGCGGAAACTGCCAGGAAGGAGTTCAGGACAGCGGCGCGCGAAGGGGTGGTTTGGGCAGATTTGTGAACGGGCAAAGAGAAAGGGTGGGTGGGTGGGTGGGTGGGGTGGGAGGCGGACGATAGAGGTCGAGTTGTGGGGCAGAAGCGGAGGGAATAGATTCGTGGGGAAACGAGGTATTGCTTGGTGACCATTGGCTTGCGCGCGAGAACCGTGGACACTGCTGGAGAGAAAAAGGAAGGCAGGAACGAGGCAAGCAAGGAAGCAAGGTGCCGCAGGGGGGTTTGAATGGGGGCGAGGCTACGATTTTCGGAGGATTCAACGATGGGCTGCCCGGATGGCAATTTCGAAGCCGGCCGCCTCGCTGACGGGCGACTCCCGGCAGTTCCGCCTTAGCGAGTGCCTAGCAGGGTCCATTGGCCCCCAGAGCGCAACCAAGACCGGACCGGAGTCCATGCAACTGGATGCCTTTTCTGGCGGACTTAATGGTGGGCAGACCGCTCGGCAATTTCGAGCCCCGCAGCCTCGCTGGCGGGAGACTCCGGGCAGCGCCGCTTCAGCGAGCGCTCGGCGGCGTCTTGCATACCCCAGAGTGCATCGAAGACCGGACCAGATTGGAGGTCGGCCGCGCGGGGGATTAGAACTTTGGAAGAGGTCGCGGCACCGGAAAGGAAGTCAGAGGGGCAACTTCGGATGCCAAAAACTTCGTGAGCGCCAATTGGGGATCAAGGGGGCCCAAGACCAGGCGGGAAAGGAGCAAGGAGGGGGCGGTGGGCGGCGCGGAGGGCGCACCAGTCGCGCTGCACCGTCTGTCGTTTCTGGCCACTGCGACCCGTCCAGGAATTGATGGCGTGGCAGTTGTCCACTCTTCCGCGAGCAGGAAGGCGCGTCACCTTGGGATTTGACCGCCTCGGCTGGTCGCAGACGGGCGGCCTGGGATATGCCGCCGGTCGTTTGCCCGCGGACGGCGCCCTGGAGGGGTAGGCGCGGGGGGGGGTTCTGTTGCGAGGACGACGGAAGAAGAACGGAGGAAGGAGGCGGGGGGTGCTTTTGGTGGTGGTGAGTGGCCCTTTGGGGGAGTAGGTGGGGGCGCTACCTATTGGCGGGCACAGCTGGCAGCGGGTGGGAATTTGCCACCCCCCCGCCGAGGTGCGGAAGGCATCTTACGAGAAAGTTGGTCGAAGTTGGTTTCGTGGTGCCCGCCAGGGCTACACTGGGCGCTTGGTGGTCGAAAAGGAGCACTGTCTCGGAAGGTGGAATCGCTAGGGAAAAAGGGCAAAATAACACGTGTTGAAACGTGTACAGAGTTTACGGGTTTGGGTTATTTGCGTGTTTTCAGCATGCAGAACACTGATGAAATGCATGTGTACATGTTCCGCAAAAGTGTTATTTGGTCAGTTTTTTGCCAGCGAATACCCCCAGGCACCCAGGGTTGCCCTTGCTGCTCATTTTGAGCGACAGGCCGCCGCAGTTGTACCTTCTCCTGCCACTGCCAATGGGTTTCCGGCCGGGTACCCTGCTGTCTAGCAGGGTCTAATCAGGCTTGGTTTTCACACCGCGAGGACTGAAGGTATTTACGTTTTTGTGCGTAAGAATATTTTTACGTTTTTACGCTTAAAAAGGCGAAAAAATACCTAAATGCAACCCCGTGTGCGTAAGGACAGTACATAAAGACTTTGGGAGTCCGGGAAGTGGCAGTCAGACGAGCTGGAGTGGGTAGAAGACGAACTTTTGTTATGGAAATAGCGGAGGACTGATCAATGTACACAACTTTCATCGTGTAACCTGGCTGTCCCAACGAGTCGCAAAAATGTAAAATAGCCCCTTTCGCAAATTTACGTGTTCATGTAAAACAGTAAAACGAAAAAAAAAAGAACTGGGACTAATTAGATGTTCGTGCAAGCCTTTTCCCACTGGACACACGTACATTCCCGTTCGGGGCCCACCGCTCCAGATATCTATCCACCCCTTTGCTAGGCCCCCCGCTATGCGTCACTGTCAAAAACATTCCCTCTCCACCCAGCGGATCCCACGCATGGCTCGCCCAGCCAACAGGTTCGACCTAGATGCGAATGAGCAAGAAGTTCGCACACAATGAATGCACTTGCACCTGCGGTCCATGCACTGCAAAAAGCGCCTCCCCCCCCTCCCCCACGCGCGCCTGGCTGCTGCGCAGGACCCGGACTCCAACGCCCAAACGGTGCCACAATCGACACCAGCCCCGACCGCCAGTAAATGAACAGCCTCTAAAGGGTAAAGGCTTGCTTGCACAGAACGTGTGCAGGAACGGGCGCAAGGTGAGGGCAGCCAGCGCTGCGCCTGTGGCCGTTTGCAGGGAAGTGCTTTAGGCAGCTCACTGACGGCGAGGCACGATCGTCAGCCCATCTTCAATCTGTGTTCCTGAGCGGCCCCATTACAATCTCCAAGGCGTCCGTGCGCTACACTGGCCAAAAAAGGACCAAATAATATTTTTGTGAACACATATGAAATGCGTTTATCAATGTTCTGCAGGCTAAGAACACAAGAATCACCCAGACTCGTAAACTTTGTGCACGTTTGAGCACGGGTTATTTGGCCCTTCACTCCTAGCGCAAGCGCATCAGATTGTTTGAGCCCGAATTTTGGCACAAGAGCTGCACACGCCTCCGGGTCCCTCGCCCTGGGTAAGTGCCGATCCGCCGATGGATCTCTCCTGCGCACACATCTTGCGCGATCTTGAATTGGAAATTGCGCCGGCGCTCATTCTGGGAGCCGATTGGGCGACGCTTGCATGGCGCCGAATCGTGCCTGTCGCCAACGACCGCCGAGTGGCCACTGAACATCGCGACCGCCCGTCTCTGTTTGCCCGCTGTTCTGCGACCGCCTCGGAGGAGTCGCGCTGTTTCCCAGCGTGCTCAGGGCCCGCGTGCGACGCCAAAGTCATGCGCGCCCCCATGTCTGACCCGTGCATTTCGTTACCCGAAGCCACTAGCGAAATGAGTACCGAATAACCCTTTTCCGAACACACACAAAACACATTTCATCAAAGTTGTGCGCGCTAAGAACACAAAAATAACCCGAACTCGTAAACTTTGTACGCGTTTGCTCACGTGTTTTTTGGCCCTTTTTTTCTTGTGAGCAGAGGCCAGGTGTCACCAGCAGAAAACGGAATTTCGGACGATGTCAGCTGCGATGCCCTTTGGCAAAACGTGTCGCCATCATTGGCAATGACTGCGATGGAGTCAATTGCTGCCAAATGGTTCCATCGACGCTGGAATCGCGAGCATCGTGTTTTCTGGTGGTGTGCCATTATGGTGGCGGCCCCCAGCGTAAGTCGAGAAAGCTACGCAGTTAGAATCCCAGCTGCTCTTCCTGTAGTGCAATTATGGCAACTCCGACTGGCTTGAGCCTCACGCCGTCTGTCGCCGCAAAAGTCGATTTAATGCCTTGCCAGCATGGTGCAGACCCGCAACACACCCTTTAACCATTGTAGCATTTTTGTTGTCACGATGACGGTGTCGAAAAATGTATCGTGGTCGAGATCGATGCGCCATCGCGCACATGTGTGTATATTCAGAAGATGCCCTGGACTGCTTGGTGATCATCTGGCTGCTCTGCTCGCCAGCCAATCTGCCGATCGCTGAGAGAGGGTTCTGGCCCTTCTGGCAGCCCAAATTCGCAGTGCGTGAGCATCGCGGCAGCTTCCACTTGCAGCAGGTTGAAGAAACGGCACCAGGGCAACACGAGTGCACCACGAGGGTATCACGAGGGCACGGAAGCGTCAAGCCCCTGGGCAGTCGACCACAATGGGTCTTTACCTGTGCGCAAGTTCTCTTCCACACCTGGAAGAACTGCAGACGTTGATGCAGCACTGTGGCTACATTGCCATTGACGTGCTGCAACATTTCAGCGAATGCACAGACGCCAATACTCAGAAGCGCTCCTGTGCGTTCCAAAGCTGCGACAGTACTGATGCACTGACCTGGCTGCGTCATTGTTCGGCGCCGTGTCAGTGACGCTCTGCGCACAGTATTGAATCAACATTTACCCTTTCTCCTGGGGCAGGGCTGTCAACGTGTACACAACACGAGAGGCAGCACATCGAATCAGCCAGGGTGCTGAAATCCTGCCGTTCAAAAAATGTCGATCGACCGTGCACTGCGCTGCCACATGAAGGTGCTGTCTCATTGCAGCCGAATCCAATATGGTTCGTTCGAAGAACGCCCCTGAACTGCTGCAAACACAAGCCGTCGGCTCATACAAACCGGGGATGGGGACCTACCAGGGGTTCCAGAGTTACTGTCAGAGATTTGAGGGAGGGGCGGGCAACATGCTGCGCCCAATGTCAAATCTCGGCAATCTAAAATGTGTCCACATGATTTCGAATCTTCAATTATCCAGCGCACTTGCCGCTGTACATCTCGCATCGCGTGTGGATCATATGAGTGCCACCAAACAATGGTATTGTGCACACAAAAACCTGCAATCCCGCGTTTACGCTTGTGTTCTCAATCCGCATTCGAAACTGCGAGGCTATGGCCTCCTAGCTACCCAATTGGGTACCCATCTAGGGCGATTGCCCGGCGCTGGCCGCACAAACTGCAATTTGAAGGCTTCAATTGAAGACTTTTCGATCAGAATTTCCGCGAACCTTGCGGTTTCACATTCAAAGGGAAGCAGATATCATTACCAAAACGCATCCTCTTGCTGCATCTAGCGTGTCCATCGTTCCACTTTCAGGGAATGGAAGTTAATGCCTCTGCAATTATGTGCCATTCAGTTATCTGCCATTAAGATTTCTGGACGCCCATTTTGCATGTCATGCATCCACTCGCACAATGACGTGTGTCGGTCGGGCATGACCTGAATTTGCGGCCCTTTATTTATGAGCATCAAAGTCGAGCCGAATTGAAGTTTCTTATCCCCTTTCTTTTACCCTCAACGCCTTTGACGTGTTCCCCATGGAACAGGCGTCCTGGTTTTGAGACAGCTTGCCTTTTCCTCACGGCGTTGACCCAAGTTTTCCGCAGTGGAGGGTCAGCACGTAGTGCAAATAACACACGATGTCTACTCGCAAGTGGAGCAATATCAGATCCGATATGAGGCTCCAACTCGGAGCCAAACCCCATTTGCACTAGTAAAAGACAGGCCTCAAACACACTGTTGCGAAAAATCATGCACCGTGCAGCGCGATTGAAAATCGTGTAAAAGCCATAGTTAGTCGTGTATTTATCATATAGGAATGGACCACACCGTGGTAGCGAGTGAGTGTACACTATTTTTGCACGTTTTGACACGATCTTTACACGGCTCGAAGCCGTGCATTTTGGCTAATTTTCTCTTGCGTGGGTCGCCATCCATCAAGCCATGCAGACTGTCGTTGAGATAATCAGCTGGACGAACGCCTGGCAACAGCATGGACATTAACATGGTTCTCTGAACACAGACAGCACATGTGCCTTTCCTAGCGAGGAGCCATAAATTAGTAACACCATGCACAAGGCACTACCAAGCTATGGTTCTCGCTAGGAAAAGCATCTTTTGCATCAATGCAGCCAATTGGGCATCTTTCCTTCGAGGATGCATCCACATTTAGGCACACTGCCTTGGGGGGGCATTCTCTTGTGCGAGGCCTCAGGACAAACGTTGCAGGTCCGACAGGGCTCCAGCAATCCAGATGCACCGTCCCGCAGCGTCCGTGTGTCCTCCATGGCGCGTATGTGTGACACAGCCCTAGTACAGCATGCATCAAGAGACAGGAAGCCAGGGTCAGGGCGGCTGTCAGTCTGACTGAGTGCCAGTGCCAGCAGTTGTGAAACCACTGAGAGCCCAACAGCAACCCGAAAGAGTGATGCCCAGTGAGAGGCCCGACTGAGCTTGACTGCTCCAGTCGAGCAGTCAAGCTCGGCTTACATACAGCAACTTACGTACTGACTTGTATGGTGACTTGACCATGGCTCCCCCCGTGTCCCCGTGACGTCACAGAACTGGCGCTGGTGACTGGCACTGTAATTGCCATGTTGCTGCACAGTCAAGATGGCTCTTGCGGCTCCAAATCACGTGCTACTAAACGATCGTGCAGCATTCGCTGCCCCTGATCAGCGGCGTTTGATCATGATCAAATTTCACTCACAGGGACGTGTACACTCTTCCTTGTTTTTTTCTCCTTTCGCCATCCAGTTTCTCCAGATTCTAATCACATTTTGTTCAGATAAGCTGGCACCAAAAGGCGGAATGTTTTCAGTTGGCAAACCTTCGACATGGCTTTCATCGGTGAATATGGAGCTGGTGGACGCGTGCTCGCCTTCATATACAGTACTTCTTGTTTCACTCAAAATGCCACCATTAGAACTACTTTCACTAATTGTATTATTAACGGTGTACAGCCACTAGTAGTATTCACGGGACCGGGAGACCAGGCCATCCGCAAATCCCCGTTGGATGTCGCAAAAGCCACGTGCTGTTCACAATGCGAAGTTCACACTCCAGCGCCTTGGCGAACCACCCGTTGGCTCCCGATCACTCTAACTCTGTTGGACCAACAGGCACATTCGGGCCAGCGACGGCCACAGCTAAAATTCTCCCTGAACACAGCATTGCCGCAAAGCTTAAATTCACGCGATGGCAACTCAGCACAGTGTTTTATCGAGCCCAGTACTCTCTGAACAGTGCCGTCTCTCCACTGGGCCGAGAACGTTCGACTGTTCTGGCGAACAACAGTGGGCATCCCAATGGGGAACAGCACGAAGAACCCAGACAGCCCACTCCGGAGTGGGGATCCCCGTCCGTTCCCCCGTCAGATAAATGAATCCGACCAATGTGGCAAGAGCATCCCTTAAAATTGGCAAGGAAAGTCAAGCAAAAGTCCTGCAATGCCCAGCGCAGGCGCAATAAATTTCTGCAGCGAAATGTGGACAGCCTTGAGGTCTTGGAGTGTGTCTTTCAGCGATGCTAGTAGAAGCCGTAGTCCTCACCGCCATCGTCGCCACCATCGTCATAACCTTCATCGTCATCGAAATAGTTGCCCTGCTCATCCAAGCGACAACGCATGAATGAGCAGCCAGTATTGACTCGAAAAGGATCTGACAATTAGTGGCTTTGGCTTTGGGACGGTGCAAAACAGACATACACATTCTCCATCACCCCCTATAATTGTCTCGACTCGAACTGCAAACATCAACAATCCAGCAACAGCAGTGAAGCAAAAGGTGCAGTTCCTTGGTGTTTGTTGCTTTTGATCCATAAATACTAGATCACATCCGAGAATCAGAAAATCCATTGGCGCGCTCTCAGCCAGTGCGCAGCAAGGGCTGCCTCACAATGAGTCACTTGTTATTATGACCTCAAAAGTATTAGCTATAATTGGTGGGCACCTTTCTGACACTTAAGAAAACAAAACGCCAAACTGCAGTTGCACGGCGCTGTTGGTACATGCACAGTTCTTCTCAGTCCAACTCGATGTGCTCTCGCCCTTCGATTGTGGAATCGGTTCTCAATCAATCAAGATTCCGCTGCACAGTGCCAGAGACAGCGCGAGGCGCCCTGCCTTGTAGTCGTCGTTCTCGAAATACTCGTCCTCGTCTTCCACTGGCTCTTCTTCATTGCCGTCCTCTTCACCAGCTTCCTCCTTCTTCTTGTCCTCCTCCTCATCTCCCTCCTCGCCATCTTGGGGATTATCTTCCCGTTGGGCCAGCTCTTCCAGCTTTCCCAAACCTACTTGATGAACAACAGAGACCGACACTGAATACGCAATCATCACTTCCACACAAAACAGCACACAGGTGAGCACAGCTCAGTATGTGGGTTCCCAGAGTGTGGCAAATGGAACTTTGTAGTGCAATGGCGTCATCTGACACGATGACACACACATGAACAATAATGTTGCAATGCCAGCTTGCAGGCCTACATCCTTTGTTACAAGTTGCCCTTGAAAGGTAAGCTTGGGCATTTTGCAGGCAATGACAGGCACATATATGTCCAACAATGTTTCCTGTCCCTCAGGACAGGAGGGCCAAAAGAGGTGGTGTTTCAATCCCCAGAAGATTGTATTTGACAAGACAGCCTATTGTACCCACGTCTTCAAGTCCATGCAAGGACTTGGATTTAAGAGAAGGCGAGGCAACACATGTTTGATGTGTTTGACTGCCCTGTAGTCTGATTAGAAACAACAGCAATTGCACAAACGGGGCAGAAGTCATGGCCAACAGCAATACAAACCTGACTTGGATGCGACCTGCTCCTTCCAGAACGATTCCAAAGCTTTTGAAGAGCCTGCTGCAAGGCTGGCCGCTCTGCATGGAAAAGGTGACCACAACATGGCCCCCACCATGGTAAGTGAAATGAAGAAAATGGAGGAACCAAAGCAAATGTGTACAGAGCATTTCAAGTACAAGAGTGCAGTACTTCTGTCACATATTTGAGAAATACAGTCAATCTCACTTGCTAATGGCAACACATACGACCCAGATCCACCCCTGGATTCCGCAAGTTAATGTGATCAAATACACAGGAATTTGTGAATGCAGCAGATGAACACCATGTCTGGCGGTTTTGGCCAAAGGGTGTGACAAGTGGTGTTTACTTGGCTATTATTCCGCAGGCACACACAGTGTTGCATCTGAAACTGTGCACAACATTCCTTGCAGGGTAGCATTCCAGCAAATGGCGCATATTGTTCTGGGCCTGAATAGCAACCTCATCCAGTGGCCATTTGGCAGTGCCCAACAACGTCACACACTAACCAAGCACAAATTTGCTGCCTTGTCGTCGCCTTGAAGGTTAAAAGCAGTGGCCAACAGTCGTGCATTGGCAAGTTCCACTTATGAGGATTCAAGTTGCCTGTGCTGTTCAACACCCTGAACATCAGCGCTTCACTTGATTGAAGGGGAACTGACTAACCTCCTGTCCTTTTCTGAGCTCAACTCCTCCGGGAAGTAGTACGCAGACAGAGTGACCACAGACGTCAACTTGGGCCGGTCCCGTTTGATCTTCTTATATCGATCAGAATAGGTTTCCAGCTCAAAGCCCTTGTCCTCTGACAGCCAACCACTCATTCATTAACCTATCGACCACCGCACTGTGGATGTCAAGAGCGCCCCTCTTCATCCTAAAGGTGCCAAGTGTACTTTTCAATGACTCCAAAAACACTACTTCCAATTTTAGGATTCTGGAGTCAAACCATTTACATGAGTTCACTATTATCACATAACATGTACATAACTCTCTGTAATCGGTTACATTAATTCACAAATAGACATAAGACAAACAGCTTGTGATCAACGCAGAATGCCAACTCAATATTATGGACCTCATTCTGATGTGGCCGGGTCTGCTGCTGCTCTCCATGCACACAGTGCTGGCAGGGACTGTAGAAAGTGGGCAAGACAAAGGGTAAGCAAGTCAGCATTCATCAGTGACTATGACTACCTCAATGCCTGTACCAACCTACCTGTGCCACTGTGCACTAATGTCTCCATGCTACCTGTTGTTATGTACAGTGTGTTTGACACACTGCTACGCAAACCACCAAATGTGGCTTAGCTCCTGAGGAACTCTTTGGGGTGTTTGTGTCCTGTGTTTGATTCAAGGACAGGAGCACCACAGCTGTTCAGGATTGGATAGCTGTTTTTATTCACAGCACCACCGATCAGCTCAACATATCAGGCTTCAAGTCGCATTTCATTTTCTTGAGGGGTGGAAAGAGCCCTACACCTCTTCTTTTAGGACAGGGGCATCACCTGGACATTTACATGTGATGCAACACTGCAGTAATACCAAAAGCGTACAACCACACTATTGATGTGTACACGGTGCAACCTCAGTCATCAAGGTCGACGCTGGCTTATCATAGTTGCATCCTGCACCATGGGTGGGAACTGGCACCAACAGAACTTGCAAATGTGACATTATGTAGTGGCAGGAATCTGTTTGTCACGTGGCGTTGCCAAAATGATTCCAACGACCAACACAATCATGAGCAAAGGTCACCTTTTGTCTCCTTGTTCTGCAGGTGGAAAGGCCCTGTCTGATATGCATGCCGCAACCGGTGCCACCCGTCCTGCAACGTTCAGCAGAGCAGTCAGCCCCGAGCTCTGCAAGGTCACAACTAATGCTTGCGGCCTTTTGTCCAGAGCGTATAACTGCAACTGGAATTCTACTGTGGCTCTTGGCTTAACATGAGTGCAATGGATACTGCACTTGGGGCACAGCTCTGAGTGTAGGACAGGGCTGATGATCGCCCTGAAGGTGCAACAGCAGGGCTCGATCAATTTCCTCACTGCCTTCAAAACAGAATTACACACATTGCTGAAAGTCTACAACACCCTCGCCACATTGTGGTTGGGGTTCAGTGTCCAGGGTCTAGTGCAAGAAACAGCTGAAACGCTGCCAGGAAATAATAATAAATAATTGTCATTCTGCAAAAACTGCATTTGCAAGGGCAGCTGGCTTGTACCGACTGCTTGAACCACTGAAATGTGCTCTGACTCTGCATTTGTTTCCTCAGGCTGCCAAGGCTTCCCCTGGGAGAAGACATGTCATCTGAACTGGGTGCACATGGGTACTTATCCATGTAGCCATTTGTGCACATGAAGAACATTGTTCAGTGGAGGCATGGATGCTTATGTACTATGAACCACATGCCATCTTTGCTGTGTTCGTTACACATATCATTGCATAGGCCAGGCAGAGCTTTAGATGATGTCTCCTCAACTCGCCCATGCCACTTCGATGCCACATTCGATTGGCTCTTCATAAACTGTCCTTACATATTTTGTACTTGATGTTTTCTGCAAATGGCAACATCCTACAAGATGGCTGCCACAGTATGGATGCCCCATTTAGGTTTGCATCTACATTTGAACCATGAACCTGCAGAAACAGGAGTCAGAGCCAGCCGATGCTGGCCTCATTTTATGGTGAAAATCCGCATTTGATCACAAATGTTAAAATGCACCAATGCACCGCCCCTTTGTGCACTTTACCTGTCTTCTTCTAATTTGGGATTTGTAGGTTGCACATGGAGATTATCACAAGTAGAATATGATAAAAGAAATGAAGAAATTAAGCAACAGTATAACAGTAACAGAAGGCCATGATTGCCATCAAACAATGGCCATTGGCTGCATGTGCACTGCATGAGAAGCTGCTCTGCCTGCAGTCACAATTGCAGCCCATGGGCGCCACTCTATTGCACTGTTCGCAGAATGCACACTGGGGAAAGCCTGTGTGACCTCACCAACAGCCGTTGATCTTGTTCGGTTATCTCTGGCACACTGGGCATTTCTTCCATCTCCTGTGGGGCATTGCAACACAGGATGACGCCATCAAAAGGCGACTGACGACAATCAACAGCCCAATAGGCCCAAAGCATTGCTTTGCCAGGTTCCATGGCAACTTCAACCGGTGCAGTGACAGAGAATTTCGGTAACAAGGACACGCGGTGCGCCCCCCGAGACGCAACGGCCAAGGCGAAGCGGACGACAGATGAGCGGTGGATGCTTCTGGAATGCAGCCCTGGGTGCATAAAGACGGGAGCTGGATTCTTGCTTGTCCGCTCAGAGAAAGCAATACACATTTCGCACAGTGGCCACCCCCTTCTTTCTCGAGCAGGAACAAAAGGCGTGGGGTGGGGAGAGCAGCGGCTCCCGTTGAATGATCAATCACGCGAGCAAGTGCAAGTTATGCCTCCCTTTCCATGAGTCAAAGAATCCGGTCATCGCCCTCGCTAACACGAACAGGATGGCGGTCGCGACGCGTTCGCACGTGGCCTTATAGGAGCGAGCTGCGAGAGCCTCTCAGCTCATGCAAACCTCGCTCGACCTCCCCAAGCCCTTCACTAAGCATGCACGATTTCTCGACACAGCAGGCGCCTTCCGCAACGAACAAAACGCAATTTTTCCTGTCCAACAGGAATCCCTCAGAAGCCTCGACGTTGAATGCGATCAAGGCTTGCCAAGCGCAGCTCTGTGGACGATAGGTTGAGTTTTCAGGATTGTTTGAGCCATCGCGGTCGCTGGGCTGGAGAGCCGCATTCCGAGAGCAATCTTTATTCGCTGGACCTGTGAGCCGCATTCTAAGGACAAACTCTATTCGCTCGGCCGGTGAGCTGCATCTCTAACATCATCTCCAAGAATCTCCAAGAACAATCTCCAAGAAAACGTTTATTCGCTGGGGGGATGAGGCGTACTCTAAGAGCGCAGTTCCCCGTGGCCTGTCTGCGCTTACCGGGAAGGTTGCGGGCGGTCCGCTGATCTGGTCGGTGAGCAGCTTGCCGTCCTCGTCGACAGCCGTCGGCGCGAGGCCCCGCCCGGCGCCGCCGCGCCTGCCGCGCCCGCGGCCTCGAAAGCCTCTGGCGGCCATTGCGCGGTGTTCCGGAGCACGGCGACAAGTGCGCAGCCGCTCATGGTTTGTGCCTGCATGCACTCACCACAGTTCACCAGGACAAAATAAAAGAAACTAGTAAGGGAATGGATGGATGAAAATCCTTACAGGCAACCTGAAAAATCGACGCTCTGGTCATGCCACGTGTCTCTGCTGAACCCGGATAGTCAAACAGCGTCCCTCTTCTAGCGGTCTAAAACTGGTAAGAGAAACTAATAGCGAAAACCAAAAAGAGGAGTGGGCTGTTTTCTACCGTCGATTGAAAATTCCAAAGACAGCGTGCCTCCTTGAAGCCTTCGTGCAAGCGCTTGAAGCGTTTGAGGGCCCCAATAGGACCGCCCTGCGACTTTGCCACACAGGGTGGTTGCTGAATATGCAAGGCAAGCGGCAGTCCAATAATTGGTTTTTTTTTGGCCATCGTTCACACAGCCACAAATGTCGATTCTACGTCCCAACCCACAGGGAATTGATATCAATATAACTCGATTTGATCCCATTTGGTTGCAGTTGTCAACTTGAACTACAGAATCCGGCCCCAATTGAGCACGCATTGACCACAGATTGGAATGTCTGCAGTGGACGATACGTTGCCAGAGCAAGGCTCGCCAAGTCGCGGTGCTTTCCCACCAGCTAAAAATGGGGTTCAGAAACTGAAAAACAGGATTCTTGCCCATTCAACACAATTTGAAGACAGTCACAAACTGTGCGACATGCGCAATTATCCGCCAATGTTCCGGTGCTGGCGGTTCGACAGCGGTGGAGGCCCTTCGGATCAGCGGCAGCGCGCGATGGGGACTCACATTCGGGAGCGGACTTCGACACTCTGACATGGGCATTATGGGCTGTCGTTGCATGTGGCAGCGGCACGACATGCATCTGTCGGGCTCACAGCAATGAACGGCAACTGCACAGACCCGTGCAGAAGTTGCCCCATTGCGCAGAAAATGGCGGCAGTCATGTTGAACAAAATTAGGAGGGCCAGGCCATTGTACACCATTCTGACCGCTCCTATAATGGAATTCGTCTTCGTCTCATCAATCTTCAGCATCCAGGCCAGCCACCCGAGTAGGGTCACCAAGAAGTCCCCAATCCACTGGATGCCAGCGCCCAGGAACCTCACACCCCGTCCGACAGCGCCAGCCAACGCCGCCATGACGGCAGCCCCCTCCACGGGCGATCCCGGAAAGCTCATAGTCATCGCGCACCTCACCGCAGAGGCCCCCACCAGTTCCGTACGACGCAACGTCCTCCCCGCGTCCACTCGTCGCGCGTACCGGCCGATCCGCACTCCCGTAGGGTGCTACGGCACTCCAGCACCAGCGACGGCGCTCGCCTTGCGTAATGCGCCGCCCTCAATCACTCCGGATCCCACGAGCGTCTCACCAGCACTCGGCGTGAGTGCGCGGTACACCACAGGGCCCCGAGGCTCCTTAGGCCGGCTCACGTACTCTCGGGTAACGTGAGGGGGCAAGGCCAGCGGTGGCCGAGCCTGGCGGGGGGCTGTGGTGCGACGGCGGGGAGGTACAGGCGGCTGGGACACTCTTTGTCACACAGGGGCCTGCCGGAGAGCTGTCAGGACAGACTCCCCGCGGCTATTTATTACAGAACTGTCTTTCGGGTACAACCGGCAACCATGCGTTCACTCCTTCTCGTTATGCCTCCCCGTTCACTCATCCAACTGGACACGACACGACCCAATCACAGCAAGTTTCCGGTACAATCCGTCCCGTCCGGTCACACGCCAGCCAGGACACCCCAGAGATCATTCTCCGCCAAGGAAACCCTCGGACAACTCCATCCTCGCCAGCTGGCTTCCGGTGGCTACCCTCCGTCTCGTCATCCGCCAGCCCGGACACCGTCACGTCACGACTGCCAGCTTGTCTCCCCTCTTCCCGTAATCCGCGCCCATCAACTGCCGAATCCCGGCGGGAGTGATGGCATCACCGCGTCCTCGCTGCGTGTCCCATCAAAACCGGGTGGCAGGGTTGGTGTCGTCATCGCGGTCGTGCCGAGGGTTGCCGGTACAGCGGGTGGTCCACCAGCGGGCGCTTCTTCCATGACGTCATCGTGGACCTGCCCCTGTCGCCTCGCCTCGCGTCGCTGACGTCGGATGGCCCTCCGCCAGGCCCGCTCCTCTGCGCGCAACTCCACGGCCGTGTACGGCGGCTTGCCCGCATTGAGGCGTCGAGCCACGAGCGCGCTGGCTTCCGCGAAGGCGGCGGAGGGCAGTACGGCCGCATTGGGTTCCGTTTGCACACCGAACTCCTTCCGATCACGGACGAATACTTCAGACGCGCTGGACGGATGCGTGGCCGCGTACTCACGGCGGGTGACGCCTCCACCCTCCATGCGCCAGCAGCGCTCATCGGAGTGCGGTACACTGATGTCAAGGCTCATATGTACCTGGCGATAGTAAAAGTTGATCTCCACACCGCCAGGCCTGGATCCGTCCGCCTTCACGCTCAATCATCGCCGCGATGCGTTGCTGGAACGCCTGCGTACCCATGCCGGTGTACGGCCGATGCGGATGGGGATACACTTGGAGTGCCCAGGGGCGGTACACGGCCTCGGGCTTGTAGTCAGGGTTCCAGTCCGGCTTTTCCCCAGGTCCAGGCAGATGTCCTGATGTCAATTGCGTTGACACGGTGCGGCAGTACGCCTCGCGCGCCTCCTCTTGCAGCCGATACCTCAGAGAGTCTTCCCCATGATCTCGCTGGTGATGTAGCCACGGCGCGTCCTCGTCGCTGAACGGCAATACTACCGTAAGCCCAAAACACCAGTAGCCTGGAGGGTAGTCAGACTTCTCGAGGTACCACCTCGAGAGCCAGAGGTCGCCGAAAGCGAGCCACTGGGCGATCAAAAAGCGCCAGCTTTCGACCTGGCGGAATCGCGTCGCCGTCATGGCTGCCGGGAAACCGCCAACCAGCTGCTGGGCAGTGAGACTGGGAGGCAGGGCTCGCGGTGCAGGATGGTCAGAATGCAGGGAAGCGCTGCTGTGCGCTTTTGCCGTTTTGGGGTCTTGGACGGTGTTTGGATGTCGGACTGGTCGCTTGACGGCTTGTGGGCATGTGAGAGGATGTCGTTATCCCATGCTGGGCGTCAAAGTCGGACGGGACCTTGCATGTGGATGCGTAGTTGGTCATGAAGGGTAGTGACACTGTTCATTGGAACTGGTTCCGGAATTCTGATTGCTGAGCGGCTTGATCTTGTACAGTTCTGGTCGGATTGTCGCTTCTTGAGCGCTTCTCATGCTGCCGCTGTCTTCAGATGTAATATGCTTTTGAGGATGTAACTAATGGTGGTCAGTCGATGCTGCTGGCAATATTGCCGGTAGATGCTGGGAAAATGAAGTTGATGGAGACATTTGCCATGTCATTTATGGCCTGGAAATGGCCAACTTTAACATGGGCACTCCCACGCTGAACTGCGCTCCTACTCCGAAGTACTGGTCGTCCGGCTGGGTCACCATACGTGTTCGTCGTCGTCAAACTTCTGTATGAAGTTCTCGTGGAACACGAGGATCTTCTTCCGGCCCGGCTTGTCGCGTATTCGCTCCTGAGCCCTCCAGAGGCTGCCGGGAAGCTTCTCAACCAGTTTGTAGGGGCCAGCCCAACGCTTCATCAACTTGTTTCGCTGCCTCTTGAGGCGACTGAAATCGTAGACAAGGACAGTATCGCCAACCTGCAGATTCTCCGAGAAAACTCTGAGGTTCTGATTGGCCCGATCCCTCGCCTTGGCCATCTTTTGATGGGCTTCCAGTCTGACCTTGTAGTTAGCTCCCCACAGCTCATTCGGCGTCATTCCAGCAGTTGCATGTACTGACCTATTTATATTCTGAACAACCCAGTCTAATTCGGTTGTCCATGTGCCACCCGTAGCTAGAACCCGTTTCCCAAGCTGATGTACAACGGTTCGATTGCACCGCTCCACTACGCCAATACTTTCGTGGCGGTAGGGAGCTATAAACAGGTGCATTACACCATTGCCCTTGTGTTACGCGCACCAGCCTGATGTGGGAGACGTCCTACTAATGGCTCTTGGTGTGGGGGACGCCCTGCCCAAGGCACGTACTATTCCTCACCCAATGTAACCTTTATCCATATTAGGATACGGGAGTAGGAGGGGTGGTCCCGCCTAGGTGCCCTGTAAGGACCTAGGTGCCCGGCGAGGCGGGTCCGCGGCTCAAAGAGGGCAGGAACCCCACACCCACATCCTATTCATAACATTTGGTTTCGGAGCCGCCTGAGGGTGGCGGCCACGCTTCCACCTGGGAGCGCGCGAGAGTACAAGACGCCGGAGCCCTTCCCCGGCCTCCTCCATGGAGGCTGAGGAATCGGAGGAACAAGCCCGGGATGGGCAGGGGGAAGGACAAGCCTGGGATGGGCAGGCGATCGAAACAGCCCGGGATGGGCAAGGAACTGAACAAGCCCGGGATGGGCCAGGAGGTGTAACAGTCCGGGAGGACATGGCTGGACCCTCCACAGCCACATCGGCACCCGCAGCAGAAGATGAGCCGATGGAAGAAGTGGAAACCCCGCCGGCGGCGGAGAAGACGCAGGAGCAAGACCAGGACGCAGAGGCGGCGGCGGCGTTGCTGAAGATCCCTGGTATCAAAGAGCTCCTGCAGAAGATGGCGGATACTGCGGCCGAGAAGGCGAGAGCGAAGCGGGATGAAGAGACCGCCGAGAGGATCGCCTCGCTGGAGATCGCCGTCAACAAGGCCAAGAAAGAAGCTCGAGAGAAAGAGCTGGCCATGAAGAAGGCGAAGCAGCAGAGCCGCGAGGCCCAAGAAGTCAAAACCTCCGCCGAAGACCAAGTCAAGGCGTTGAGTGACCGCCTCCTGAAGCAAAAGCAGCGGGCCCAGGAGGCAGAAGAGAGAAGCGCCCAACAGGTGGTGCCAACTGTGAGGGCCCCCAGTCCGTCGGAGCTGCCCATGCCAACCATTCCAGAGGAAGACTGGAAGGTTGCTTGCAAGCAGT